GCCTGCCCTCCTGACACCAGACCCTGAGTGCTGGCCTGCAGGTCCACTCCTGGGGGAACAGGAGCCAGATGCTTGCTAGGCAGCCATTGAGCAAACATTCCAACTCCCAGCCCCTCTCCCCAGGTGACTCAAGACTGTCCAGACTCCTTGGTCCTGCCATTGCCCCCACCCTCCCTTCCCAGCCAGCAGTGAGGCCCAGACCTGTGCCTCCTGGGGAAGAGGAGAGAGCCACGCCCTGTTCCCTTGCTTCCAAGGAGGATCTCCCTCCCCTTCCTCTCCCTGCAGGTCACAGGGAGAGTACAGAGAGAAGGTAGAGGACCAGAGGGGATGCTCTTATGCCTAGGCTGGTAAGCCATGAAGATATACAGGTTTTTAACCAGTAATTTGACTTTGACAACGTCATGTAATCATGCCTTGATTCTGGAGCAAGCCGGGCAGCCTGCCCAAACCCTGGCTCCCTGAGAACCTTCAGTGGACCGTGAGTGCTTCACCAGCCCCAAGCTCCTCCCTCCTGCAGGGACAGGTGTGCCAGATGCTGTACTGGTTCCTATGTATCTGCTCTTTAAGCAGAAAGCAGTCATGGAGATCAGGAAGTGCAGGAGGGGCCCTTTTCTTCCAGGAAGCCAGCCTTCTCTCCTCCAGGTCAACTTGGCATTGGCTCCTGCATGGCAGAATTTGTAGTCAATAGCTACAAGATCTCCATATCAATTATTCGGGTCCTTCCAAGGCTCTAAGGACCACGGTCCCAGCTTGACTGGCACAGACCTGAAATATCCAAGAACAGAACCCTGTCCAAACCAATGGGCTCCAGCCCACAAAGTACCTGCTCTTTCACCCCAATAGGGTCCCTTTGAACAGCAACACTGCAGCTGGAGGAGGCCGGGGACCAGCCCACATAGCCTCCCCAAGCACACGTCCCAAGACTCCATCGTTTATGCAGACCCAGACTCTGGGGATTCAGGAATGAGTCTCCTGGCCTCCCTGGCCCATCTTCAGAGTCTGCGACCTCTCAGGTCCAGGGTGGGCCCAGCAGGGTAAATTGGGTGTCAGCAGTAAAAGGCACAGAGTGTCTGGGAGACCCAGGTTGACACTCCGAGGAGGCTTTTATGTAGGTCAAGAGCAGCATGGGGACTCCCGAGCCATCCTGTGGAGCGGATGCAAATCTTCACAACCACTGATCAGGTCTTCATAGCACTTCAGTCAGGAAGCAGGAGGACAGGCTACCCCTAGTCAGGCAGCAGGCAGCCAACAGCATACATGGTGGGGAGGCAGGAGGAGAGGGAGGACAGTGAGAAAGAGGAGGAGGACAAGGTACAACAAGGCCAGAAAGTACCAGAGGAAAACAAAACGGTGGGCGAAGAGGGGTTGGAGGGTATGGAACAGGGCTCTCCTGGGGCGGGGGTGGGAAATACATTTTAGATTCTGGGAAGTCACCGTGCTGTCCAGGCCAACCCACTCTTACCTTCTGGCTGCTTCAGGGCTCTGGACCAGGCCAACTCCAGTGCAAGGCAGGTGATACCACAGCTGAGGAAGGCATGGAGACTCCTCCACCCAGCTCCCAGCTCCCGAGGTCTGCCAAGGTCCTCTGGCCAAGTGCCTGCCCAGCTGTGGCAGAGCTGGCCTAGAACCACCCCAACTCTGGGCTCCCAACTTGGAATGAGGCTGAGACAAGCACAGCCCAGAGTTTCTGGACTCCACTCTCCAGAGCACCTTGCTAGTCCTTAGCAGTCAGGGGACCTAGCTCTGTCACTGAGCTCTATGATGCTGGCCAGGTGTCACCTCCCTGAGCCTCTGCTTCCCAAAACGTTCACCTAGTCCCATAAGTATAAGCATATTCCCACAGCCATAAGCAAACAAGAAACCCCAACATCTGAGCTCCAGGGCAGCCAGGGTTGAGGGAACCAGGCCGCTGGAGTGACCAACACCCTTGGGAGAGGTTTCAGCTTGAAGGCCCCAATGTCAGCTCAACTGCCAAACCCGAAAGTAAAGGTGGATACCCAGCTCTCTTTAGTCCCCTTTCCCCCTTTTCTTATACCACAGGATCACAAGCTTGACAGCAGACATAGAACACTTTGAACCCTAGCTGTATTGTTGGGTGGCTGTGTAACTCTGGATAAATTACCCTCTCTGAGCCTCAGGTTCTCCATCTGTAAGCCTGGGATGACAACAACATCTAGCATGGTTGTGGAGAAGGAATGAGTTGACCTTTGAGGACAGCCGGTCACTGTGCCCATCAAATAGCAGACTCTTAATAAGGGACCTACTTTCTTTCCCCTATGAGACAGTTTTCTCTCCTGTGCTGCACTATTCCTGGGTGGTAAGGAAACCTCTGGGCACACTGGTTTCCGGCTCAGCACTGGCTACTCCTGCCAGGGGGCACTGCTTAACCCACAGCAAGGAGGGTTTTGTGGGAAGCAAGGAACACATTTCTGGCCAGCTGGTAGCCTTTCTGGGCCCCTCCCAAGTCACACCCTGTACTTGACTGTCCGTACGCACAAAGCTGATTCTGGAATCCGTGAAAAGATTTGCTGCTCCAGTTTTGCAAAAATAGTAGAGCTTGACTTGGAGAGCAGGGGAAGAGGGTAGCCAGATGTTCTCCCCAGGGCCCCTAACCCAGCTCCCTGCCTACAAGAGCTGCCATTCTGCCCCATGCTCTCCCCTCCTCCATCCCACAACATCTGGTTCCAATCTCCTCCAGATGCTGGGGCCACACCATTTACGGCCAGTCACCTCAGCGTGCCTTCCTGAAGGCCTCCCTCCGTTTTGGGGAATGGGCCCTCTTCATCCCTTTCCTCAGGACCCCAGGACTTCTTTTCCTAACACGGAGAAGAGATGCATTCCAAAACCAGACAAAGCTGTGAGTGCCCTTGGAGCTGACCCCTGTCCTCCCTCTGCTCTGGAGGGTGGGAAACCTCCCACCTGGGACAGAAAGGAGAGATGCTTTCCTGGGAGGCACAAGTGGGCAGCGGAGTGTACATGCGTTGTCTGAGCAGAGAAAGTGGGGGGTGCGTATGTCTTGGGGGCAAGCATGTGCTTGTGCTGGGTGTGCCTGTGTGTTTGTGCCTGCACAGTAGGGCAACCTGCAGCCCGGAGCCTCCCTTCTCACCCCTGCCTTGTTTTCCCTCGCAGCCTGCACTGGTGGCAAAGCTCACTCAAGGGCCCTCAGCTGCATCGGGGCTGCGAAGGTCTGGGCCTGCCCTTGCCTTGGAGCTCTGAGCTCTGCCAGGCTTCCTCCAAGCCCAGGGCAAGGAGGGTGTTCGTGCGTGGGCACGCACCTCCAACAGCGACCTCTCCTCCCGCTGGGTCAGGTTGGACTCCAGGCCAGAAAGGACCTCAGAATGGAATCTGGCAGATACCTTGACCCTGCTCCATCTGACAGGTGCTTCAAGCAGCCCAGGGCTGGCCATGCGCCAGCGAGTGGCCATCTGGATGGAGGAAGGAAAACAGGCCCTAATGGAGGGACCTGCATGGAGCCCCTGTCTCTGGTCATTCCCTTTGCTCCCAGTTAGAGGACTCTGGGAGCCTAATCCCTCTTCCCAAGAAACCCAAAAGGGCTGTCAAAAGGGAAAGTGAAGCCTGCCTCTCTGGAGACTCTGAAATGCCAACCTTGCAGACTCCGGAGTCACTCCTCGTTAACAGCCTCCTTGGCATTTGCAACTCCACAGCACCCCCTGGTGTTCTACTGGAACTACACACAGCCTTGGTCCACAGTGTCCCGGAAGGGCCCTGCCTATCTTATTACTGTCCAAGGTGATGCCAATATACACTAAGGCAGCACAGGGCAGTAAAATGGGGCTGGTTTTTTAAAATCAAATCCTGGGCACTGTGGTTTTCTGGCATAAGATGTGGGCAAACCTTTACTTTCTCTGTGCCTCAGTTTCTTCATCTGTTAAGTGAGAATTAAAAGTGCCCAAGGTCCTTATGCAGATTAACACAGCTGATGCACATGGAGGTGTAGGCTCAGTGCTGCACACAGTAGGTGCTCCGGAAGTGGTCACCTGTGCTTTGACTCACTCCTCTCTATCCCGAAGAGGCCACGCTCCAAGGTCTGAAGACACAGGTCTGAATTTGGCCCTGATTCAGGCCATATTGGTGAGGTAGCTCTGATATTTCTGGAACATTTCCAATCCAGCCGAGGACCATTGTAATAAGTCCATAATAATAGATGCAGAGGTGACTCAGATCTGCAGGGGGGAAGCGCCACCCCGGCTGGGACAGGGAACTCCAGTGGCATTTGGGGCTGAAGCGCAGCAGTCTGCAGCAGTGGCAAGGGCTCCAACAGGGGCCCAGATGGCCACAGTCCTTCCCCTGGGACTCACTGTCTCCACAAGGGAAGCATCGGGTGGATCCAGATGACCCCCAGAGTACTTCCCATGCTGGAGATGTGGCTGTGCACTCTGACTGCTCCCGCAGTGGGCTCTGGATGTGCCCTTGAGGACGGCTACATGTGGAGGATGTTGCCACCTGAGCTCCTGCCTAGGTTATGCAACTAACCCACTCCACCCCTGCTCAAAGAGAAGCTGCTGTGGTCCCAGTGTGTCTCCTCCCACTCCAAATTCATTGTTCAAATTTTAACCCCCACGATGGTACTAGGGGGTGAATCCTTTGGGAGGAGATTGGGTCTTGAAAATGGAGGTTTGTGAGTGGGATTGGTGACATTATCAAACAGGCTGAGACAGGCTGAGAGCCAGAGGTGGCGGCACACATCTATAATCCTAGCTACTCAGGAGGCTGAGGCAGGAGGCCAGCCTGGGCTACATAGTGAGAACTTGTCTCCAATAGAAATATGAAAAGAACCAAGGATGTAGAATCCCCAGTATAAGGGCATGGGGCAGTGGGCCAGAGGAAGCGTGTTAGCCTCTTCCACCATGTGAGGACAAAGAAAAAGACAGCTCTCTATCCAGAAAGCAGGCCCCCGCAGACATCAGATCTATTGGTGACTTGAGCTTGAACCTTTCTGTCTCCAGAATTATGAGAGGCCGAGTCTCTGTTGTTCATAAGCCACCTGGTCTGTGGTATTTCATTATGGCAGCTTGGATGGACTAAGACAGGCAGGGCCTCAGGCCATGAGGTTTATTGATGTACATTGCAAGCACAGGAAGGACGTGGCTGGAGAAGGGCAGAGGGCCACCCCCACAGCAATGCCATCCAGCTGGATGGGAAGGGCCTGAGGACCCAAGTCCTCTCCTTCTCCACGAATCTCCTAGAGGCCCCAGGCCTCCTGACCATCCCAAGGATCAGCCCACCATAGCAATGCCCCTGTCCCTGTACCCAAGGACAGCTTCATTGACCTGCCAGCCCCTCTGTCTTTCATCACAGAAATCCAGCTGCTTGTCTGTCATCCCTGTCACTTCTGTGGAAGTCACAGTGGGGCTACCCTCTGCTGCTTCCACCGCACCTCCCCAGTCTCCCCGCCAGCTTTGCTCATCTTGGGAAGGGAGTGGGGGACCACCCTCACCAGCCTCATGACCCGTGCGACAGTAGGAACAAGGTGAAAAACACAGAAAGCCCAGGGAGGGCTTTGCCAAGTGTGCCCCAGGGGAGTGTCTGGAAGGGCCAATGGCCAGTGGGCAGGTGTGGGGGCTGGAGTGGCAGAGAGCCCAGTCCGATCACACTCGGCACAGAGCAGTCACGGCACTGTGGCAGAGCGGGCAAGCAAAGCACACAGCCAGGCGGGGTGCCAGGGCTCTGCGGGTAGCCTTTGGGTCTCTAGTTCCATGTCTCTAAGCCCCATCGGGTGAGGTCCGGCTGAGGACAGGGTCTCAGGGGTCTCCTTCCCCCTCCTCGACCCCAATGGTTGCTGTTCCAGACCCCTGAGCTCTCTGAGCCGAGGAAAGGTTTCCTGGGGAATATATCAACTCCAGACAGAAAAAAGGAAAAGCCCAGCAGCCCAGGGTCCCAAAGCCAGGAGAAGAAAGAAGCTCCCTTTCTAGAGAGCAGGGGGACATCTGGAGTGGACAGGGAGGAAGGGAGGGACAGCTCTCCCATGCAGGAAGAGGATTCTTGGGGGCAAGGGGCAGCCAGGGCATGACAGCGGTGCAGAAGGCTATTTATAGAGGGGAGAGTCCCAGCCTGGAGTGGGAAGCCCCAGGCCCAGCTCAGCAGGGAGGGGCCTCTCTGGGGTGGCCCTGAGTGGGGTGGGTGGGGCTGAGGAGGAGGCGCCCCACAGCTCTCTGCATCTCTCCGGAGGCAGCCACGCTACACTGTGGGCTTCAGCCCTGAGGGGCTTCCCCAGGAGAGCCTGGGGCAGGCAGGAATCTAGGAGATGGAGGCTTGGATAAGGCCAAGACTAGGAGAAGGAAGGCAGAGGAAGAGAAGGGGAGTTCTCCAGAAGTCCAGCTCACCCACGGACCTCCTGAGGCTGAGAAGCCTTTGCAAGTTCACCAGGCCTGGGGGGGGCCATGCTTACCAACAAGACCACCCTCGGTTGCTCGCGGTGCCAAGGGATCGGGTGGGGTGGATGGAGCAGAGGGAGCAGGGGGCAGAGGAGAGAAAGCCAGCTCCCTGAACCTAAACCACCCTCCTGCCATCTCTCCCTGACCCCCAGCTCCCCAGGAGTCCCTAGCGGCCCACACTGATGTTGCAGGTCTTGCAGCTGGGATCTTTCTTGGCGTCGGCAGTGGACAGGCTCATGAGCTGGTGCCCACTGATCTCTCCCAGAGTGCCCAGGGACAGGTCGACGGGCTCGGTGTAGATGATCTCCAGGATGAGGTCCTGGGCGTGGCGGAAGACCAGCTCCCCATCCTCCACACTGCAGGTCAGGAACTTGTTGCAGGCAATGTCCAGGAGGGGCAGACGATCACGGCAGAAGCGGTCCCCCAGGGAACCCTTGGGCGCCAGCACCAGGATGGCGTAGTGGTAGGCCGTGTACATACAGTAGAAGTCTGCAAAGTAAAGGTTGGTGCTGGGGTTGAAGAGGCGCTGGGCGGGGATCTGGAAGCGCCAGCGGCCATAGGGCGAGTCCTGGGGGGGCTGGCCCGTGTTGAACTCGGTGTTGCAGCTGAAGAAGACTCCGTGGAGCATGCCGCTGGTGGGGGAGCCGTGGCTGCCGCTGTTGTCCTTCAGGTAGGGTTGCAGCATGTTTCCACAGTGGGTCCTGCCCCCGCAAGAGAAAATGTCAGTCAGCTGATCATTGTGCTTGGTCAAGAAGTCCCAGATGTGCGGGGGGGTGGTGGTGGTAGTGGTGGTGGGGGTGCTGAAGATGAACTGATCCTGCCAGCTCCTTCCGGGGAAGACAGCAGCAGAACCTGCCACTCCCATTTTAAGAACCTCTCTGGTGGGGCTTGATCGTGATTAGCAAGAGAGAGACAGCATCCAGTCTCTCTGGTCTCACTGTCACGTTCCACCTCCCACCCACACAGGTGACGGTCGTAGTCACTCTCTTGCTTCTGCACCTTTGCATCGCTCTTCCTTCTGCCAGGCCTGCCCTCCCCGTCTTTCTCCTCCTGGCTTCATAAACTCCTAATCATCCTTCCAGGCCCAGCACAGGGGTTCCTTTTCTCTTCCAGGGACACTGGGCCCTTACAAATACTCAAAAAAATATATTTGCCTGCCTTCTATGGGCAGGACACTGAACTTTGCTCAATGATTATGTGTACTTATGACATTAAAATTTTCCATATTGATCATATTCTGAGGTTCTTAAAAGGGTGACCTGTGCCTTAGTCTTGGTGTCCTGGCCCCTTGTAAGGAGCAGGCAACATAGGGACACTACCTTCCTTTCTTGATGATAAAGGAGCCCAAATAGGACCCTGTCTGTTCTTTAATACAGACACTGCCCAGCCCAGATGCCTGTAGTGATAAAGATAGTGACAGTTACAGCTGGCCTGGCCTGGCTTAGAAGGACATGCGTGTGGAGCAGTGACACCAGACACGGAGGAGGGTGGACAAGCTCTGGTCCTGGCTGTCCTGAGTGACGAGTGCCTCACTGGCCTAACTGGCCAACTGAGGGTCTTTACCTATAGGGTGAGGTTGTTGGATGGGGTCATCAATTCTCAAACACTTTTGGACCGCAGAACCCTCTTTTTTCCCCCTGGGAACGTACACACAGGCTGGTCACAGGCAGACAGCATTGAGGCTGCTCTGGCTGGATGATGCTCTGGCTGATGGTGGAAAGCCCTGGCCTGTGATTCCCTTGCCCCCAGACCCTCAGCAGCACCCTAACGGATTCCTGAGATGCCTCCCTGGAGCCTCAGCACTCAGCTTGAAAGCCAGGGAGCTGGGTCCTCCCTGAGGCCCTTCATGCTCGGGACATTCTGTTTCCTCCTCTCCCCATCCTCTGTGGTCCCTGGTCCTGAACTAAACAGACAGCTGACAAATGGTGGTAGATCTTGTGATGAAATCAGCCCGGGAGAGTCAAATGGGACCTTGTTTCTCTGGGGGTGTTAGCACTGTGCCCTACCAGGTAGCCCCGTCCCAGAACCCTTGCCCTTCCCTGAACCCAAGCCCAAAGCAGTGGTTGCTTCTGAGCCAGCCTGGAGGGATGAAGACAGAGAGACCCTATATCTGGCAGCCAGAGAGAGAGGGGTGACCTGGGACAGCCAGGACAAGAGGAGGAAGAGCTGAGGGAGGCAGGAGAGGACGCCTACCTGGCATGCTGGAAGTACTCCTTGTGATGGTTGCGGTAGAAGACAGAAAAGCGGAGCATGCGGCCAGCGATCTGCTCTGCCTTCTCCTGCAGCTGGGCCAGGTGCTCCTTGGCATAATCTGCGAGGGTCCAGGTGGGGGTGAAGTGAGCTGAGCCAGCTGTAGGATCGCAACCTTGTTCTCTCCCCAGGCCCCTCCCCAGCCCCACTGCACCTGCCAGCTAACCTTGTCCTCTGGAGCAGCAGGGGACCAGATAGCCTCAGCAGAGGCTTGGGCTCCGATGAGAACAAGCCAGCTGGCCTTGGTTGGGAACACAGAGGGTGATGTGCTATCTGTCCTCGCTGCCTCTACACTCTCATTGCCAGAGGCTCGTGGCTGCCCTGGGTCCAGAAAGGGTAGGGGCTGCCCTGTGACCATTCCAGGGGTCTGAGGGGTCTGTTATCCCAGGCCATGCTCATATGAAAATAGGACCAGAGGCCAAAGAAGGACTTGAGAGGGATCCTTTGGGAGGCTCCCTCCAATCCAGCAGGTGGAGGCTGCCCTACCACCCTTGTGGATGAATCAGCGAACTGAGCCTGACCCCACGTCTGTAAATGTTGAGGCAGTGTCCACACCCGTCCCCAGGGCTGGGGCACTGACTCTCCTCTTGAGCCTCTCTGGAGAAACAGGGGACGGCTACTATCAGGGTCAGGAAACAGCGCCACCAATCCCTGCACTTCCCCCAAGCCTGAGCCCGGGACTCTGGAGCCTGGGCAGGACTGCCATTGGGCGGACAGTGCCTTGGTGCCAGCTAGAAAGAGGTGCCCTTTCCTCATTGCTGCTGCATCCCCGGCTGTGGTACTTGGTTGAGTGAGAAGAGGGTGACAAGAGACTACAGCCACTTCTAGCTCCCAGGTTGAATCAAACACCCATGGCGTGTGCAGTTCTGGGAAAACCAAGAAGCCCTTCCTGCAAGGAGCAGGAGGCACTCCTGAGGCAAGTTTGCGGCAGCTCGAGGAGACTTGGGGCACAGACATTGGCAGAGGATGGAGACAGCAGCCTGGGAGGCCCTGGAGCAGAGAATGTTCCCTGCCCCTTCCTTGTGACAGGACAGCAATCTGGAGCAGTTCTCATGTGGATACCAAAGGGACTGGATATTGCGGGGCAGGTCCTGGGTCAGCAGTGACCCAAGCACACAAGGCCAGCATTTGTCCATGTTTGAATTTTTGAGTTAGGCCCTGCCAAGAGAACTTGCAAGGCCACCAGATAAGAACCATTTCTCAGACAAATGTCATTGTCCCACCGAGTCCACTGACAGACCACCGATGAACAGAAGTTCGATCAGCCTCAAGGAGGAAGGAAATTCTAACACATGCTATGACATCCACACCCCTCGAGGAGGACATTATACTAAGAGAAACAAACCAGTCACAAAAGCACAAACACTGAATGATTCTACCTATAGGAGGTACCTAGGTCACCTAGAATGGTATTTAGAAGAGGGAAACAGGGAGTGGTTGTTTAACGGTAGAGTTTCAGTTCTGCAAGATGGAAAGGTTCTGGAAATAGGCTGCATAACAACATGAATATACTTAATGCCACCATGCTGTACGCATAGAAATGATTAAGATGGTAGGTTTTATGTCATGTGTGTTTTACCGTGTTTTAAAAAATATGCTGGACCCAAGCCTTTCCGAAAGTAACTCTCTCCTTCAATGGAGGTGGTGTTGCCAGCCTGAATAGCAGAGTCCACATCTGTCTCTCATTAGAATGAGGTGGGCTGTCTGAGAGCAAGGAATGTCTCCCTTCTCACTCAAGCACAGTGCGCAGGGCACAGCAGGTGGCCATGAGTGTTTGCCCCTCTAGGCCACAACTAAACCAGAAGTGCCAGACAAGCAAGCAAGACAGCGATACAAGAGCCCAGCTCACCCCCAGTGCAGAACTCCACGGTCTCGCTCCAGCCAGAGACCAGGTATTCCCCATCGCTCTGCTTCACGGCTGTCTGCACGGCCACGCTGTACTCTGTGCGGGGGCTCAGGAACCAGTGACCTCTCACCGTCATGGGTAGGGGCACTGCCTTGGCCACGAGCTTGGTGGGAACATCCTGAGAAATGGAATACGGTGGAAAGCCCAGAGTTCATCGGGAGGTCGCATCCAGTCTTGGAATCCTCCCAGAATTCCCACTCCCCAGCTGGAAGAGGACCAGTCTCAGGGACCCAACGTCTCCATGCCTTGGCTCCCATTTTCCAGCTGTGGCTTGGGACAGCCACATAGAACTTCCTCCCTCCCGCGCCGCGGATGGCTTGTTCTTTCAGGAACTGAGGGGCAAGGCCACTTGGGAGGAGGCTCCCAAAGTTGAAGGCGGCAAGACCTGTTTTTAAGGGAGACTTTGAGAGCTCTGCACACTGCAGTGCTGTCTCCACGGCAACGGCAAATGCTGAGAAGCAGGGGAGGAAGGGAAAATATATCTTACTCTTTGGGGGGAGGGCTAAGGGGGTGGCGTTGAACAATCACGTCACCGTGGCAACTGGCCTGCCAAAAGACACCCAGATCAGGAGAGCCAGGTCCAGAGAGGGGGGTGAGTAACCCACACTGAGGCTGGCGTCCTAGCAGCCAGCCTCTTCTCACCTCACTCTCCCCAGCCACACCAGCTGGAGAAGATGTGGGCTTCCTCCCACCCACCCCCACAGCGGCTTTTAACCCAGGGGAAGGCACACCCACGAGGGCCTGCTCACATTCCTTTCCTAGGCTAGGAAAGGCAGCCAGCGGGCAGCGGAGGTGCAGAGAACGATGGGCCCTGAGGGGAGCATCGAGTCCCCAGCAGAGGGGACCTGCCCCACTGAGGCCCACACTGCCCACCGAGTCAACGAGGCTGCGCCCCGAGGTCTTGAGGCGTCACCTGTCGCCATGCGTGGCATCTCGGGTCCACCCCCTGCCCAGGCACGGCCCTGCCTGAAGTCCCAATCATGGCGCAGATAACAATGCTCACGCCGTGCTAGGCTTTGTGCCAAGCACCACGCAAACATTACTCATGGAATCTTCTCAACAACCCTCCGAGGGTGGCCACGATTATTCCCTTTCCACCAGGGGAGGAACTCGAGCTAGGAGAGGTCACCTCACCTCCCCGAGATGAGATGACGCAGTTCGGAGAGCCTGGATTCTGATCAGGCCTCTGACTCCACGCCATTTTCCCCAAGGTCCATTTTCCTGTCTCCTTCCAGAACAGGGGTTGGGGAGAAACGCCAGGGCACCCTCTACTCACCCGGTGCTTGAACTTGTTGGAGTTCTTGTTCTCTTTCTTGTTGAGGTCAATGAAGTAATGGGTGACCCTTTCCAGGTCACTGTCCTCCATGGCCCAGGAGATGCGGAAGGAGTCGCAGGTGATGTTGTTGATCTCGATGCTGTGGGGGGTGGACAGCAGCTCCATGCTCCCCTCTGGTTCGGCTCCTGTGAGGACTGAATGTGAGGGGAAGGATCAGCAGTTCCCTCCCACCATGGAGCTTTCTAGAAGGTGCCGTGCCCAACATCCCTTGCGAGTTGGATTCTTCAGAACCCATCACATCCATCTGCCTCATAGATGTGATAGAAAAGACTGCATGGGGAAGACCGCAGTTGAGGGACCCAAGGTGGGACAGGTGCCCCCTGAGGGCCTCTCTGCTGTCCTCAGAGGGTCTACAGAGCAGATGGCACCTGACAGGTGGCAGAGGCAGTGGGAACACTGCAAACGCTGGGCAGGGACAGATTTGCAGCAGATGGAGCTGAAGAGGGAGGGAGCCCTCAGCCAGCAGGCGTGAAAAGAGAAAGGCTGGGGGTGGAGAGCTTGGGTGAGAGGCGGAGAGGAGGCAGGAAGCACCTGCTGGGGGGCTGAGGGCAAGGATGGAGGCAGGTGGCAGGTGCTGGCAGCCAAGGATGCAAGGTGCCAAGGCCTTTGGGCTCAAGCCTCTACTTTCCATGAGGGTGGCTCCGTGGGTGTCCCATGGCACGGGGCTGGGAGGACGAGGGCCAGGTAGGTGCCTGTGGATACATTTGAAGTGGACAGGGCAGTGTGGGCCCACAGCCTACTTCAAGCTCTTTTCTGCCTATAATGTTTTTGACAATCACTGTTTCTCTTTTGGCTGATCTTTGCTTGGCTTTTAAACATAATTTGTTTAAAAAAACCATAATTTGTTTCAACATTGATGTGTACTGGGAGCCCAAAAGTACAAATAATTTCACAAACAGTATCTCAAGTCCCATAATAGGTAGGTGCTATTATTATCCCCATTTTACAGATAAGGTAACTGAGGTTGGGGGGTAGGCAAGGCCACATAGTCAACAAATGAAGTATACTCTGGAGACCAAGCACTTTATTTCTAAGCTTGTGTGTGTGTGTGTGTGTGTGTGTGTGTGAGACGCGTGGCATGTGGCCATGTGCAGGGCACATATATTTCTGGCTGTTTATTTTTCCTCCTTTTAGTGATAGCTTTCAAGCAACTGCATTTCCTCTCACCTTCCTTTCACACTCCTTCGGCTCTAACTGACATCTGGCGCCCTCCCGGTGTGGCAGGACTATGCCACCATCTCTCTCACCTGTCCCTTAGCTGGGAAGAGCTCCCTGGACTTGTCTATAGTCAGACCCACCTAGACACTGCATGGGGATAGGTGAGGGGGTGGACGACGCACAGCTGTGGATCGACTTTCTCCTGGGCATCCAGTCTCCCACTTCCCTGCTCAGTAGCTGGCACAGCTCAATGCCACCTCCTTCTCTGCTCTCTTCCTTCTGCCTCTCCTCTCCTCATCCAGGAGCTAGGGGTGAGGGCACCCTGTGCCTGCAAAAACAGGTACTTTATTTATAGCTTCCAGAAGATCCAGCCCACACTTCCCTGTCAGTTAAGCCTGCTACAGAGCCTGGCACCTCTAAATTAACCTGTGGGCTGCCTGGGTGGCAGATCCCGGGGGAGGCTGTAGATGATGGCTCTTAACTACCCCAGGTGTCCCCCAAGTCTTGTTTCTTCTTAGCCTCCCACCCTACAGTCAGAGGCCAGTGGCTTCATGCATGGACTCCTATGGTGAATAGCATGGGAGTGCCACCAAGGCCACCCAAAAATAAAACAGATGGATCTGGGCTTGTATCCACAAACACTGTTTGTAATTGGGGGGGACAGGTCTGGAACAGTGGGGAATCACCATCTTCCTAGATCTTGGCAGGAAGCTCCCAGGGAGATACACGTATGGCCCTTGCATGCTTGTGTGTGCGCGCGCACACACACACACACGAACACGACACTCCCACTCATGTGTGATGCAGCCTACAGAAGGCCCATGATCAAACCACTATTCCTGCCTTGTTTCCTCTTCTTCTCAGAGTCTTCCTAGAAGTAGGGGTAGCTGCGTGGTGTGTGGGAGCCCCGGACCTGGAAGCTGCTCATCCCTTCTCTCTCCAGTTCTGGGAGAGCTGAGATGACTCCCCCACCCTAGCCTGGCAGAGAGGTGTTGACTGGCACCAACAGAGTGGACCAGGGTGGGTGTGAACCCACCCTCTAGACACCCAGATACCTGGGGAAAGGCAGAGTGTGAGGAACAGGTTGAGGCAACACCCTAGAAACACCCACACTCCTGTGTGAATCCACCCCAGGCAAGTGTGTACATACTCACACACAAGCAGGCACGCATGCACACACACACAAGTGCTGAGGGTGCCTCCCAGCCCCCACACGCACCTCCCCACCCACCGAGGTACCCTCCACCTGCCTACCTGTGCAAAAGTCTGCTCCATGATTTTTTTTGCCCTCTGCAAACTGTCACCTTCAAGCAGATGCACACATGCTCATGTCCACTGTCTCCTGCACACCCACAGGCACGAATCCCTCCTCACAAGCCACATTTGGGGAAAGGAAGAAGCCACAGGCACCAACATGCATGTGTGCCACCTCCCCAAGGAGACATACAACCCACATGCCTGCCCAAGCACACATGTACGCTCACACATTCCAATCCTCCCACCCCCAAGGGACTCCGGTATTCTCTCCAGAGTCTCAAAGCCAGAGTCTCCGGGCTCAGAGACAGACTGAAAACACGTTCACCTCTGGCCACACTCTGCCAGCCCGATCCTTCACATGCCAACAGGTCTGGGCACCTGCGCCAATCTGCCCACTCTCCCACCTGCCCACGCCACCTTGCTCTGGAGTTGGGTCTCCCCACAGAGAAAGCACCTGTGTGCATACACTCCCTCAACATGTACTCCCACCCACAGGACAAGTGACATGTCCACCCCCTAAATATACTGCCTTGCAGGCCCTCTGCCCACGCCTACCCACAGGCTACTCAGAGAAGCAATGCCCCCCCACGTCCCTCACACGTGCCAGAAAGCCGTGATCCTAGATAAGCCTGAAGCTGGCTGAACCCCCAACGCCAGCCTAACTCCACTCAGCACACCTATCTACGCAAGAAAGCCTCCAGCCTCCCTGGGAGTGTGCACACGAGCTGGAACACAGGTTCCCCTGCCCCGGCCCCATTCAGAAAAGCTGCCAGAATGCCACAGGGAAAGCCCCCCCCCCATCCCTGCTGGTACTGCTGACTGCAGCGGAATGGTCACGGGGTAACTAACTGTGTCACCCCAGGGACCAGATCCAGCTGTTAAGCTCTTTGCTGAGGGCCTGGGAGAGAGGGAACAAGGTCGTCAGGCCTGGGGATGCAGGGGGGCACCCCAGATAGTGGCAAGTCCCTGGCACCTCCAGATCTTCGCCTCTCAGGATGGGTAGTGGGACGGCCGGGAGAGGATGGGTGCTCACCTGGCTTCCCCGGGCTCTGCAGAGGAAGACCCGTCAGGGAGGGAAGGGAGGACCTTCTGTGGATGAGCTCCCCAGGCAGGGACACAGCGGCTGGACGCCTGGGTCACAGGCAGTGGCCCGCGCTCACTGCTCTCCCGGCTGCCAAGGAGGCAGCTTCCATGCCCCGCAGGCAGCTCCTGTCTGGCTCGCAGCAAACGGCTGCTGCCCCAGCGACACGATGTTCCCAGCCCAGCCGAGTGCGAGGAGGAGCGAAAGATGAGAGGCAAGAGCGAAATCCAAGCAGCGTAGAGGAGAGGGAGGCAGAGAAGGCGAGAAAGAATGAGAGAGCGGGACTGAATCTGGCTCCACCAATGGGATCGGTGGCTGCACAGCGTCAGGTGATAATCAGCAAGCTTGGTCCCTGCTCTCCCAGGCTGGCCGGGAGGGGGAGAGGGCAGAGGGTCTCCCGGGGAACTACACAGATATCCTCGGAGGCAGTGGCTGGGACTCTGCCACCTTTCCCCTGTTCCTACAGGACAACCTGCCCCTCCCCCGCCAGATCCCTCCAACACACCCCCTACTTGGAAATCTCTGACTTGGATGCAACCCCCAAACTTTAGGATGCCAGGAGAAGGGTGGGGCATAACCAGAGGGCTTGGGCCCCCAAACAAGGGTGCTGACTGGGGGAAAGAGAAGGAAGCTATGCAGGGAAGGGTCCAGATGGGGTGTGTGAGCAGGGGCCCTGTTGCAGTCTGGGTCCCCTCCTGGGGGCCTTTCGCTGATGCGTGGCTCCATTTTCTTACCAACTCTTATCAGGAGATATCAGATCTGCAGTTCTGGAGACGCCTGAATGTCCAGTGCGAGTCCTCTAGCTGATTAGGTGTCCTCAAGAAAAGGAGCAGGAGACAGAAGTTGTAGAGGAGAGAAGGATGCGCAGAAGGAAGAATGTGGGGGTGGGAGGACACACACAGCTTCAAGTGTTCCCATCCCAGCCAACCCTCGGGGCGCAGGCAAGCCCTGAGCGCCTCAGCCAGACGGTAATATTGGCAGGAGGAGGCTTGTCTGCCACCAAAAAACCAGGATCTGCGGCCGCCACCGGAAGAGCGCTCAAGGAAAGTAGAAGCAAGCGGCAAACAGTGACAGCTTGTGCCACGATGGAAAGCACAGGCTCCACAGAAATGAGGACAATGCCTGCTCTCTCCTCTTCTAGCTGGGTGACCTCGGACAGGTGACGCCACCTCCCTTGGAGCTTCAGTTTCTTCATCTGACAAGTGGGATACTAACACAGGTTTATTGATCTTGGAGTGAGATCATTGTGGGAATCGGCTAGCTCTAGGCTTGGCACTGTCGGAGCTGTTATCTTTCCCGTCACTGTTGGCAGTCGGCCTGCAAGGAGCGCTCTGTCTTCCAGGGGAGGAGAGATGAACATTTAGATGACGCAATTGGAGAATAAAGACCATACAGTTGGCACTCTGAATCCATCTGCAGATCCAAAGAAGGATTGAAAGCATATTTTTTACTTTTTTTTTTTTTTTCTTTTTTTGAGGCAGGGTATTGCCATATAGTTCAGGCTGGCCTTGAACTCACTGTGTAGCCCAGGATGGTTTTGAACTCAAGGCAATCCTGCCTCAGCCTCCCTGTTACAGAAGGGATTACAGAAGTGCACACTATGCCTGGCTCCAAAATAATAATAATAATAATAATAACAATATATTTTTTCAAAAATATATTTTTCAAAATTGCATTTGTTTGGAGGTTTTTGTTTTGCTTTGTTTCTGCTTTTGTTTGAGACAGGGTCTTGCTGTGTATGTAGTTCAGGCTGTCCTTGAACTCACTATGTAGCCCAGGCTGGCCTCAAACCCATGGCAATCTTCCTGTTCCAGTCTCCCTAGTGCTGGGAGTACACAGCCACCACAATCAGTTTAAAGTTACATTTGAAGGGCTAGGTCTGTAGGCAAGTGATAAGAATGCTTGCCTAGCATGCCTGAGGCCCTGGGTTCAATCCTCAGCACTAAAAAACCATGAATAGACATTTTTCTTGTCATTCCCTAAATGACATAGTGTAACTGCATACATAGCATGTACACTGTATTAGGTATTAAAGTAATTTGCAGATGATTTGAGGTAATGGGAGGATGTAACAGATTAGATGCAAATACTACACTGTATTATGTAAGGAATTTGTGCACCCGTGGATTTTGGTATCCATGGAGATCCTGGAGCCAAGCTTCTGTGCACCGTAGGGATGATGATGGGATAACAAAATTCCAGGTACAAGTGTCCAAGAAGGAGACCATGGAAGAGGAGTGGGGTGGAAGCAAAGAGTGGCAAGGGGACAGGAGATACCACACAAGCCCAGAGGTGAGGGCTTCTGAGAGAGAAGACACGATCTGAGCATAAGGGACACATGCTGAGAAGGACTTGGGGGCTGCAGGTATTGGAAGCCAAGGTTGGAGAAGGTGACAGTGACAGAGAGTGAAGACTGCATGGTGTACAGAGACAAGCAGAAGCCACTCCTGCCTTAACTGGGTGTGCGAACCTGAGCAAGCCTGGTCAGATCCCACACCACGGAATGCAGCGTGATGCGTCACACACAGGCAGGATTAAGCACTCGCTTGGTCAAACATGACCAGGTCCCACCCTTCACACGCCTACGCCGAGATGCTGAGGCTCAGAAGAGCTGTGGAACAGCATCTCCTGGTTATGAACAGCACCAGCCATCCGGCCTAGAAACCCTATCCCCAGGACCAATAGGAGGAGCAGAGAGAGCAAGAAGGCAGGGGCTCCGTGACTCAGTTTCTCCTGTGAAGGAAGTCCAGCAGCATCTCTGCCTCTCACCTTCTCAGGGTGGCACTGGAGGCTGCATGAGATCATGTGCCCCAGCCCTCTGAATGCCCCTTTGTGAGCTGTGTGCTGGTGCCAGCGGTCAGGTGAGGGCCCAGCCCTTTCCAGGCTTGTGCCTCTGCTTGCTTTAGAACGAGAAAGACAGCGTGTGGTGAAAGCGAAGCACGGTGTGCCAAGTATAGCAGAACAAACAAATGTGTACAGGATCACTGTAGAAAGATGAGAACATTTCGTTGTAGAAACAAAGAGAATGAAAATCACTTGTTTTCCCACCATTCAGGAATTTGTGAATGATATGTACATAATTTATTAACAGAATGAAAAGGCATATGAAGTAGTGTTTATAGCCTTTTCTTCACTTAGCAACACCTTTTCAATTCATCATATGGTCTTTCGTATGGTGTCATTTTAAATTGCTGTCTATCTAATGTTACGCAGTCACCCTTTTTAGGATCCAGTCCCCTACTCTTCTCCAATTCTTTTTCTCTATGCTAAACAACACTGCAATGAACATCCTTCTAGAAAAATCTCTTTTCACATCTTATAAACTTACAGTAAAAATTAAAGGACATAATGGACCTTATATGGATACTGATTTAACAAACTATTAAAAAAACCCACAAACCCTTTGCTGGGTGTGGTGGTACACATCTGTAACCCCAGGACTTGAGAGGCCGAGGCAGAAGGATTGTGAGTTCAAAGCCAGCCTGGACTACTTAGCAAGACCCTGTCTCAAAAGAGGAAAACCAAAACCCAAACCTAACAAAATCAAATCCAAAAAACTTGGATATTTGATGTGATTTAATATCGATATCTGGTAATAATATTGTGTTTATTCTTTTTTAAAGTCTTTACCTTTTGGGGATACACAGTATAATACTTATGGATTAATGGCATAATATGTATGATTTGTTTCAAAATAATCTGGAGTGCAGGAGTGGTGGCAGTAGAGATAGAAACAGGAATGGATAATTGTTATTATTAAAGCTGACTTCTTGGAGATCCAATAAGCTATTTTCTATGTTTTTCTTTATAGTTGGAAGTTTCCATATTAAATATTATATCTAAGATACCTAAAAATATTTATTAGGCACAAAGACAGTGCCAGGCATTCTATCCTCCCAATAGCCTTGGTAGGCTCAGCAATCTCACTTTTAAAAGGTGATGGTGGGAAAGCAGACTGAGCTAACAAGAAGAAAAACTAGTGTTTTGTTTCAGAGCTGTGTGAGTACAAAGGCCAGATGCTTCCAGGCACACAGACGGATATAATAGAGAATGAGGCTGGAGGTGGAAAGGAATCTCAGTCCTTGTACTTCTGGACTTTATAGGCTCAAACTGGATATGTCTTCCCTCATAGCTAAGCAGATCCCAGGAGCCCAGGAAGCACAGTCACCCAGTCCATAAATCCCTCGTTCATTCTCTTGTGCAAAAGGACTGTAAGGATTTCTCAGTGCTTGTTTACTTTCTCTTTTTGAAGTGACTGTTATTCTTACTCTCTGATTCTTACTGGTGATCTATCTTGAGCTTAATAAAGATCATTAATTAAAGTGATTTTTAAAATATGCACTGCAGCATTTCTGTTTCCTCCTGAAGTGGGAATAGATGTACCTGTTAAGACTGTAGCTTGGAATTAGACAACATATTTATTATCAACCATGTCACGGCCAGATCAGGCCTGACATCCCTTTGTGTTATAATAGAAAAACAAAAAGGCCTGAGTGGAATGAGAGGGGGTTTCTCAAGGCTACTTCACGCGTGACATGGGCTATGTGGGCGACCTAGTGGGGGGAAAACTGGGGGGAATCTTGTTATATCAGGGAGTGGCAGAGAACTTCTGCTTAGGAACTGCCTGTATGCAGTTTTGTAGGAATTGGGATAGGAGCCTAAAGGGGACAAGAGGTGATGCAGGTTTGAAGTCAGAGCCCAGGCAAGTGAGACCTGGCACAGCGAGAGCTGTGGGCCCCAGGGTCAGAGGGTCAGATATCACCAGGTGATCTCAGTGAAGCAGAGCTTCGGGAAAGGGTCTAGAGCTCCCCCACAAAGAGGGTCACCCTCTCCCAGGTTTTGGGCACCAGATGTGACAAATGGCAGAGGACTGAGACCACCCCAGTGGGCTAGTGGAAGGCAACGAGGCACAGTCTTTATTTACCTGGGTGCAGGTCAGCTGAGAGCAGCCAGAGGCTGTCAGTGGTGAACAAAGAAAAAGCAGGGAGCTTTAGAGTGGGTTGGTGGAGGGGTCTGTCATGTACAGGGTCAGAGCAAATATTTGTGGTCAGGGTCCATGCAGCAGTCAAGGCAGATGTGTGGATGTCATCAGGTAACTTGGCTCTGGGAAGATGTTGTGCTGTATCTTGTAGTCTTATCTCTTCTCTGTAACATCCTGTTCTGTGTTCTATCTGCTCGGAGACAGCAGCCTGTGTCGCAGGAGATGGCACAACCTGCACGTGTGACGTGTTGTGCTGAGGGCTGTGATTTTTTTTGGTA